GTTGAGGGTTCTTCAAACTATGGCTCTCCTTTCAGAGTTGGACCATGCAGTACTATAAATGTGTCTTCCATCATGTGAAGAACCATTCGATCCTCAGCGATCAGCTGGTAGATTGCAAAACGACATTAGGTTTGTCAACACACTTACGTTACCGTATTTTCCACACTAAAAGGTGCACTGGAATATGAGGCGCACCTTCAATGAATGGACTATTTTGTAAATGTTTTCATATATAGGGCGCACCGCGTTATAAGACGTAATCTACAATGCATCCACTAGATGGAGCTACGTTCAATGAAATGCCAACAGAACGATCAGATGTCAGTAAAACTTATTTAAATAAAGCAGCGACACAGTTCACTTAACCAACAGCAAGTTATAACATTGACTCGTTAACGTTGAACTCTCTTGCCGCTGCTCTATTTCCGTGTTCAACTGCGAAACCGATCACCTTAAGTTTGAACTCTGCGTTGTAAGCATGTCTCCAGCAAGGAGCCATTTTGGGGGTCGACATATGACCGTAATGACCATACACAAGGTGCTTCGGATTTTAAGGCGTGCTGTGAGCTTTTAAGAGAATGGAAGGCTTGGAACTGAGGAAGTGGCCAGGGACAGTCAAGTCACATTCTCCCAAGCGCAATCCAGACCCCGAGAAGCGATTGATCATGAGCAAGCAGAGTGAAAATTTCAAACCACCTCAGCAAACACAGGTCCAGCCAGCGGGCCGCATACGGTACCGAGTGCGTGCACACAAATAGTCAATATGAGAGGCGGGTGGGCCCAAAAGGTTCTGTATGATTAGTTAGCAGCCCTCCGTCCGACGCAAAACGGTCCTCCGCGGCCAATCTCCGTCTGCCGCGGCCATCATACAGAGTGACAAATGCACTGCGCGAGCATGCATTAGGAAAACTTCACTCCTCGAGCCGTCAAAAAGATGGTGACGGCCGCTGAGCGAGCAGCACGGGCTTTTAGCTCAACGCAGGATTTCACCAAAACTCCAATTAGGAAGATCGACGTTTCGAGAGGCAAACACTAGATTGGAAAGTATGCAGGCCTCGATAAGGGAAATCTAGCTTCCCTAAAGAGCCCATCAAAAGTGCTAATTCACCCCGTCAATAATTTTCGTGCACTGGGCCAAGTCTTGCCGTGCCAGACAGACTCGAGCCTTCACAAAAAAAGTGCACCGCCAGCATTCACCACTTAATCCTAATGGGCAGGGAAGTACTAGCACCCGAAAGCCGTGTTGAGAGCTCTTGGCGGTCACGCCAAGTTCCAGTTATGTCGCACAAAGCGGAATGATGAATACTCAACAGATGAAACGGATCAGAGGATTTGAAGATTTTCTCGACAAAAGGGGAAGACCGGTTGACGGGAACAATTCAGCATGATAAAAGGTGCACTCATTTCAATTAGCCTGCAGGTGTTCCCTTTGTTTTAACAACCGCAGCGGACAAATAGCAGCGGTTGCAAATGTCTCTGTGCAGTGTCGAGAAGCAGGTTCTGTTGCTCTCCTTTGTCTTCGTGTCGTTGTACACAACGGCAAAGACAATTATGAACACGCCATTAAATAAATACTCCATCAATAGTGCCATTGAAAACCTCGATATCTGTGGAAAGGAAGCGTTTTTCCTGCAGCTCAAGTTCAACTCAGCACAAGCTCGGACACCGAGAGAATGCCAGTACAATTTCAAATGTGTGCCATACATTTTTTTAAAATGACACCATCCTCCAAAATAGTCAACGTTGCCACTGAGGCCACACCGGAAATACCGCACATAGCTGCAGGTGTTCCCAAAAGCGCCAGTGTCTTCCAAGTTCTCTGAGAAGTTACGAGGCATGGCTAGATCACAGCATGGGAGAAATTTACTCACTAGGAAGAGAGACCCAGAAAGCTAAATTCCAGAATTTTGGCTTTGTAAAAAAAAAAAAGTCTCAAAAAAAATAAAATAAGGATGTTCTTGCGAAACCGAAGCTTAGAGAGCATCAAAGTATTCAACTCAAAAGTGTTGAGCGTTTTCTCCGGCTGAAAATGGACCTCAAACAATAATTCGGAGACCGCTGGTATATACTTAATCAAAGTCAGCATCACGTCTATAAAATACACACCATCTGCCCAAAAAACACAAATAACCTGGAAAAAAAAAAGGAAAAAAACTCCTAAACTGGTTCCCACCCAATCACAGGGCACAAAGATGAACAATCATTCACACTCCCATATCACACCTTTGGACAATATAGAGTGTTCCTTTAACCTACCTACCACGCTTGTTTTTGGAATGTGGGAGGAAACCGGAGTATCCCGAGAAAACCCACGCAGGCACGGAGAGAACAAGCGAACCCACAACCTCTGAGGCGGATGCGCTCACCAGTCGACCGCCGTGCAGCTCCGGTTCGAATCAGATTACGAAACTATAAAACGCAACATAGTTTGGTGACTAATTTCCAGGTCTTGAAGATAACTGGCAAGGAATTGATGAGATTGGGGCATGGCGAGCCATAGCGGACACATTTGGCATTAAGTGACCCTTAGTAATGGGACACGGGAGTGAGGCCAAGCAGTTAAAAGTGAGCCAAAGGAGTCCCCCCCCCAAAATAAGGCTGATAAGCGGGAGAATCCTCCTGAGTCATTTCACACCCCTGTGCCAAGTCAACTCACAGCTCTCGGTGAATCAGGCAGCACCAAAATACAAACGTGATGTCGCCCAAGAAGCCATGACACGACATGACTTGGCTCTGCTTCTGTTTGCATTATGTGCTATATGTCCTCCCCCCATTTCACTCTCCATCCAAACAGGTTCTGGTCTGCTCAAAGTTTCTTCTCAAGAGGGCGTTTTTCCTTGCCTCCGTCACCTCGTGCTTGCTCATGTGGAGCTCAATTGGTCGTGTAATAAGTGAGGAGTGACCTGCTCTATGTCTTAGGTGCCGTGTGATCATTTCTGCTGTGATTTGGCACTAAATAAATCTTAAAACGTTGGCGACACTTACGTGCCAATTGTTGGCAAAGAAATTATTGGCACTGGATATTCTATCAGAGTTTCAGCAAAAGATGGCACCTCAATCGCGCTTTCTGTCTGTAATTTTTTTTTTTCCCCAGGCGTGGTGGTTCTTAAAAATCATTTTAAAACTACAAGATTGAACCAGAGGAATTTTATTTTTTAGTGTTCAACGAAATCCAATTGCGCTGATGTATTTGCTGATGCGCTGATGATGGAATTACATTTCATATAAAAATTCCAAAAATAATTCCAAGGTTGGGCAATACTGTGGACGACTGGTTAGCATGATTTGATTCCGACCTTCCTCCGTGGGTTTTGCATATTCTCTCTGTGCCTGCGTGGGTTTTCTCTGAGGACTCAGGTTTCCTCTCACATTCAAAAAAACATGAATGGCAGGTTAATGGAACACTCTAAAGCAGGGGTGTCAAACTCATTTTTGTTTGCGGACCACTTTGGAGTTACGTCTTCCCTCGTAGGGACGTTATGACAGTGAAACCGAATAAATATTTAATCATCACATCATATTATTAGTGGTACACACAAAAAGAAGGTGCCTCACTTGTTTCAAATCAGTCAAGTATTTGTTCAATTATTGTTCAAGTGAGTGTAAACCGGGTCACAAAGTTATTGCAAAATGTCACCGTTATTTATTACACATAACAATTTGATATTTCGGTATAGATTTAAGCAAGGGTCATGGAAGTTGACACATTATTTGCTTCCGCGCGGGGCTTGACTTTGACATGTGCGCTCCAAATTGTCCCTAGGTGTGATTGTGAGCGCAAATGGTTGTTCGTCTAGATGTGCCCTGCGATTGGTTGGCAACCAGTTTAGTGTGTCCCCCACCTACTGCCCGAAGACGGCTGGGATAGGCTCCAGAATGTCCGCGACCCTCGTGAGGATAAACAGAACAGATAATGAATGGATGAAAAAAAATGCCACGGTCTATTTTTTTTTTCTTTCCCCAAGTTTTGGGTTGTGCATCATTCCAATAAAAATAATTGATACTTGGGTTGCGTTGCGATTGAAGGATGCTTTAGTTTGAATTGGACCAATTCCATTTTGATTCAGTGGGATTACAATTCGAGATAATACAGCTGAGTTTGAATGGATATGATGAAATGAGTTTCTTGTGGTCATTTTACAATGTACGTGAACTTGTTGACGGAACCGCATTTTAACCTACTGACGATGTACCCCTCCATTAAAAGACATTCACTATGCAAATCTACATATTATAAACTGGAGCGATTGTACGCGCATCTTTTTTAAATCACAAGTGATTTTCCAATTCAAATCGTCCTCGATTTAAACCAGAAAGGGCTGTCTCAGTAGGGTTACAATAAGTTTGTTTTTATCAACCAAATCCATTCTTCTTATGTTGTGGCGAAACATTTAAAACCTTTTATCAGATTTGATGGTTTAGTAAATGAATTTCCCGAAATATGCCTCTATGTCATAAATACGGACAAACTGAAAATGAAACTCCCCTCAATATGCACAACAAGGATCAAGGATCCCTTGGGTGCTCTCACTCGGTGCTTGAATGTATGCGTGCGTTTGGTGCCTCAAGCGGCGCATTAATAAGACCATTTGTCGTTCGAGACAAACAAGCTGCTCATTGGACCTCAACGTAATCATTTGGGGCGCCGTGGTTGCACGCTGCTGCGGTTTTGTTTACGGATACGTTAAATAATGCAAGAAACTATCCGCCACCTGCCAAAGGATTGGAAAGTCGGACACAAACCTTGACGCGCGGCTAAAACACAGCCAAGAAACGCCGCCCCATGGTGTGCACGGTGACAAGCTAGCGTGTCCATCATCACACCCAGTCTTGAAACCGAAAGAGAAGCGCCCCTAAGTACCATTTTACAACCACTTACCACGCCGCAAACTCAAGCGGAAGCGGCTTAACTCATCGCCGTGGTGGTTGTTTAGGCTTAATTGCACAAAAGCAGAACATTTGAGGAGTGCGGACGAAACGACGGGGTAAACTGCGCCTACCTTTCAATCGGCGACTCGGGAAGAAACACACAGTCGCTCCTTTCGTGGGCTCGACTAGAGAGGTGTCGACGGAGGGTCAATTTCTCCGTCCGGCGTAACAATAGAGACGCGTCCTTCCCTCCACGTTTAAACAGCGGCAGTCGGCGACAGGCTTGCCCAGCCTGGCTCATAAAGGATGCCGTCGGGGGTGGAGAGAGGTGGGGAGGTGGGGAGTAGCGGCCTGAAATGGTAAAGCGTGGTCGCTCGAATGGACATATGCAAATTAACACTGCCCCTGCGGGCCAATCAGCGAACGAAGCTGGTGTTTATGCAAAGAGGCCAAGACGTCAGGTGGTGCAATTATCGCGAGATCTCACGGGGCTTGACTAATTGAGCATAAAAAGAACTCAACCTGGTTGTATCCATTTTCAAGGGGGAATGTGACACTATTATTATTTTTGTGTCACGATAACTTGCATCATAAAAAACTTTGAAAATAAATGCATTACAATAGAAAAACGAAACAAATATAAAACTGCTCAACATATGAAGTGTGTGTGTGTGTGTGTGTGGGGGGGGGGGGGGGGGGGACAGCCAAGAGACATTTTTTATTATTTTAATCTAAATATCTTTCAGAAAATAATTTCAAATCCCTTTTTAGCATCATTACAATAAAGTAAATGAAAATAAATAAATAAAATAAGTAAATAACCATTTATCCATACCAATATTTAATGGATTTTCCCCTCCACTTTCTTTGCCTACGTTGTGGAAAACGGTGGTGGCCGGTGGTTAGCACGTCGACCTCACAGTGCAGATGTACTGGGTTCAATTCCAGCTCCGGGCTCCCTGTGTGGAGTTTGCACGTTCTCCCCGGCCTGCGTGGGTTTTCTCCGGGTACTCCGGTTTCCTCCCACATTCCAAAGACATGCATGGCAGGCTGATTGAACACTCTAAATTGTGCCCTGCGATAGATTGTCAACCGGTTCAGGGTGTCCTCCGCCTACTGCCCAAAGACGGCTGGGATAGGCTTCAGCACCCACCGTGACCCTTGTGAGGATAAGCGGATCGGAAAATGGATGGATGGATGTTGTGGAAAACAATACTCAATTAAAAAAGTTATTTAAAAAAAAATGTATACTTATTTTATTCAAATTAAATTTTTTAAAATATATTAAATATATTTAAATATTTAAATTCTTCCCCTTCCTTTAACAAAATGTAATATTTCTTAACACTGTGAAGGTGTCCCTTTGTCATGCCATTCTCTTTAGATTTTCACTTAATACAATGAACAGTTTTAGAGTTCAATAGCTCAAGTTCAGTAATTGCAATTGTACCATCTAGAAGAGCCGTGCATTTACTCACCTAAAAGTAGATGCTCATGTGAAATTCTCCAGTTGTCTGCCTATTATGCCTGTTCAAAAGTCATCTCTAAAAATAGTACAACAAAAGTAGTTTTTTACAAGGGTCCACTTCCCTATAGTACAAGGCCCACAATTGCTGCTGCCTTGTGAATGCCTTGTTGTGTGAACGCGTTTCTTCTGTTGCGCTGCAGCTGCCGTCAGCTCAATAGACATCAATGAATGGCCACGCACAAAGAGCAGCGCAACAACACTGGGAGAAAAGAATGGAATGGGATAAGACTTCAGTTGTATTGGAAAAACTCTTCGAGGTGACTGGGCTGAAAGAATGCAGCTGTTTGGGGAGAGTGTGCGTATCTTTCAAGAGTCTGGCAGTTGTTTCATCTGCTTCTTCACACTGGACAGTGTGCCAAAACCAGGGGAAAACTCATAAACTCGTCCTTCAGTCCACTTTAGATTTATTGTTGAAATGTTCCCATTTGTCCTTGTGCACAATGTTTTTTCCTCCACTATGTTATGCAAATACTAGTTTGTTTTTTTTTGCTGTCTCACTGTGTCACAGATTTTGAAATCACACATATCTAATTTTATATCGCTGATTTTTTCACTAATAACTCGCACATTCATAAACTGTTAGCACAGCCACGACCAACATATGAGGCCCGTGTAACCATGTTGAAGTGTCTTTGAGCAAGATACTCAACCCCGCTGATGCTACCTCATCAGTAGGTGAATGAGGTAACAGTGTAAAGTGTTACCATGTGTAATGTGTTTTTAACATGGAAAACAGCACTCTGAAATAATACATTCATCAAACATATCGTGATGACAATCAATATTTAATAAATGTCTGAAAGTGCATCAATGGTGGCATTCCTCACCCACATGCAAAAACTTGACAGTTGTGGCATTTTCTTATTCACTTCACTCAATCAGCAATATCAGAAGCATGGTCATATGTCTCCGTTTTGGCTTAATTCAAAAAAAAAAATCTACTGGGCAATGGCTCATAACTTGAAAAACTCAAATATACAATTGTTGTATTTCTTAGTTGCAGAAATAAACCCAAATACCTTGCATGAATACAAGTGGACATAACAGTGGATGTCAATTTCTGAAGACATTTCCCCAGGGTGTGTCCCGGCGATACAATTCCCAGACAATTAGGAGGAACCGATGACCTACAAGACTGAAAATATCTACTTCCTCAAACAACAGTATATTTAGCATGGGTAGGCGGTCAGGGACAGCCAGGTCATCTCTGCTGGCCTAAACTTCATCAGAAGCACTGAACAACAACACATTTACAACCTAACTTCTTAGATTTATTCCATGAAAAACATTCGTTTACTCACAAACGTTCATTCTCTTCCCTTTCATAACGTTTCTCTTGGCTGCACTGCTACCAGTTCATATAGGTGTGCATTAAGATTTTTTTTTTGTTTGTCCAATTAGATTTCAACAAATATGTTCTGCCATGTCATTGTAATCTCCCCAGGGCCTTTAGAATTAGTAAGTAGCGCTGCCCGGATTATAACTTAAACTCTATAAGCTACGGGACTATTTCTAAGCTTTAAAATACAAGTTCAAATTTGCCTCATTGGGCCAGCGAGCTGGCCTGCAATGACATCACCATTCATCCATTCTCTGATTGGTTGGTCAGAGGAAGCCAAACTTGATGAGCAAAAACATGTCTGCAAGGATCCGCGTACATTAATAGCTACAGTGGTGCTTTGAGATACACGTTGAATTTGTTCTGTGACCACGCTCAAACTCAAAACAGAATTGAAATGAATGGACATGCCATCAATCTGTTTCAGCCATCCATGCCTAAAAACATATGTAAGAAAAATAGTCTATAATATCGTTTATAAAAAAAAATAGAGTAATGCCATAATTAAAAATGTAGAATTCAACAGTTTTAAAAAATATATATATTTTGTTTCAACACAATGAACATCTTGTTTGCTCTCTTCGGTATACACGCCTTGGCCACCTGGGAGAAGATAAAGAATATATGTTTGTGAGGATTGTGACATTGTCTATCCCCATATGCTGTTCCACCGTTGTTTTCAAACAATCATTGCATGGTGATATAACACTGCAACACCTATGCTATTTATTACCGTCTATTTTAATGTTTTGCATTATTTGTTAGCATTAAGCTAAACTGACTTACCTAACTCAAAGCTATGTGGTTGTTTTGAAAACACAATGTGTCTTTCTTAATCCACCTATCAATAAACAGCCCACTCCTGATATTTAGCCACGGTGACTCACTTCGGAGGACTCAACCGACACAAGGCGTGTGTTCCACTCAAAACACAGAGCAAACGGAGTGAGCCGTGCTGAGTTCAAAGCACCATCAACAAACATCCATCGACCTTCCATTGTGCATCACAGACAATGAAAGCTATGCCCCATTCCTTCGATAAAGCACATATGACCTGCTTGCTGGCCAAGCAGGTAGCGGGAAGGCATCTTCAGAGCTTTACATAATGCATGATGATTTTGAGTGGTGGGAAGACAAACATCCGCCTCATGATCAATAGGCGGGGATGACGTCATCGCGTTTAAAGGCAGAATGAAACGTTCCTTCTTAGTTGGAGTAAAGCGTGGCTAGTTCCTTTTTAACTCTTCACTATAAATAAAGTTAGAATATTCAATTTAAAAAATACTTCATAAAATTATACTAATAAAATTTAGAATGTCACTCCACCGAACAGCTACCTGAAACCATCATACGCTAGAACACTGCACCATAGCGCTTTGATTTACACCAAGTCATTTGCAACGTAAGTCACCATTTGACTGGTCCAGATGTCTCATAAGCAGCCTTCGAAAGATGACTCACTGACGCCCTCTTTTGAACAAGTTTGAAATACTGATAAAAGCATGATGCTACAACGTCAAAGGTGATCCAGGACTAAACATGATGAACGTCAAAGGTGATCCAGGACACTTTAATCAGCAACATGTGTACAAGATGTCATGTTTCTACTCGTTTACATTTTGCCAAGTAGTGATCAAGTGTAGAATATGGGTACTGTATTAAAAAAATGACACAGTGGGTAAAGGCACATGTGCCTAATATCTTCTACAGTACTGTATGATATATTATATACACATGTATCATATATTATTTAAGGCTAAATTTCACACGTTTCTCAACGTTTCACTGAAGCAAGTTATTGTTGTTGAATACAAATGAATGAAGGTCATCCGAACGAAAGTCCTCTTTCGACGATTGTGCGTTTCATGAAATACAAAACATAATAGAAAAACAGTCGTAATGAGGACAAGAGCAGACTTAGGGGTGGGAGATGGGGGGCGGGGGTACAGGAGGATCACATAGTGTACAGCGAATTGCTATACATTAGTTGAACTGTTTGGTTGCTTCAAGTTTGCCTTCCAAAATGTGCCAAATTGTTTCTTGTGGAAATCTCATGTCAAAATAAAGAGCAGTTTCTTTGTTTGGTAAGAATGATCGAACAGCAAGTGCTTCATGACTTTGTGAGTACATCATGCAAAATCTATGACAGCAACCATAATGAAAAAATGATGCTAGTGCAGCCTATTCTAAGTGCAACCTGAGATTCTCAACAAGCAAGTAAAAAAATATATTGAAAAAAAAAAAACTAAAAAATAATATATATTACACCCAATTTGGGGCTTTAAAATTTTCATAATGCGGGTGCATCTCAAATTTATTTTGGGAGTTTAATTTAAAAAGTTAAAAACTCAAATGATACGATGATGAAACAAATACATTTTACATCAAAAATAAAATGTCTTCCGAGTGTGTCATTTTCTAAACTGTAACCATCAAAGTCATAGAAAAAAAAAATCATCGTAAATTCTACTTTATCTGTAGTGAATCCACCGCATATTAGATTTTTGAAATTGAACCATTGAAATAAATGACATTTTCCATCACATCCTCATTTATTTGGATGCACCCTTATACACTGTAAGTGTAATTTTGTTTCGGGGGACTCATCCTGAAATGCACTTTCCACATGGATTGGCATTGGGTGTCTTTAAAAAAATAAAAAAATAACGTGTGATTTCTAAGGCTATTTAAAAAAACAACAACACATCACTACATTACAGTTTTACAGTGTTCATAAGCTGTACTCTCCATTGCACTCTTGTTTATGTCTCTATTTTAAGTATTTCGATGATTAAATGTTTCAAATAGCGAGTTATGGTCCAGCGAGGTAATCCTTCTTCCTTAGTATAAATTTGAAATCCAAAAAGTAGGGAAAAAAAAAAAAGTCTCAAGTGATGGTTCTGGTTCCTCAAAATGTAAAAACACTTAACGGGCATACCGTGTCGAGGCCATTTCCTCCGAGGCCGCAGTCAAACTGGATCTGCCTCAAAGTTTCCTGCGTAGTGATCGGCCTGAAATCTGCTAATAAACTAGCAGGTTGAAACATCTTTTCTTGTGAATGTAAATTTTAAAAAAATGAAAAATCTAAAAAACACTGAGCTGGCCTGACACTAGGCCCATGAAATAAATACGTGTGCTTTCACCATCCACAAGGCACCTTGTTCCTGATGAATTCATGACGTGCATTCCTCATTGGAAATCCTGGTCCAACTGATTGACGCCTCCTCCTTCAGTCAAGTGCCAGAAAAAAAAGGCTTGTTCCAGAGGGGTCTTCTTGTAAGTTGAACCGAATTCTTCCTCAGTTCACCAGCAGGACGTCCTCATATGTTGTCATCCTGACGGAAATACAAGACGGTGGTTTGTATTCACGCAGAGCTGTTTAATGTGACTCTCTGACAGGGGAAAGCCCAAAAGTCCCCTTTTCGTATCACCAGTTATACTTTGGCACCACCTGGTGGAATCTTACTGTAGTTGTTTGATTGAGTTCATTCGTGGTGTTTTTACATCGATGTTTGAGATATCCCGTTTTGTTGGTGGAATTTGAATGCACCCTGAGGACTGGTCAACGGGAAACACAGTAGATCAGTGTTTTGCTTCTTTCCTGATGCAAATGCTCATAGCTCTTGCGCTCTATTTGCCAGTTAGAATTTTCCTGAATGACCTAAAATGTTATCATTCCGTTTGTTCGTGTGTGTGATGTCTCATCACTTTGTGGTTAAAATGTTAAATAGGCTATTAGGCTAGCTAATAGTATTGATGAGCCTCATGTTAAGGCGGTTTGGCTGTGTTGATTACACTGACCCACTGAGTACAGTTGTTTATGGAACATGGGTTTCACGATTGTTTACATGCAACATGCGTGGGGTTGATGCTTTATGTAATCAGTGTGTCTAGTTTCAGATTCACATTCAGAGTACTTATGATGCCGCCATTTTCTGGCATTTACAATATAAACGGTTACACACCCTTTTGTATGGAGAGTGTGACAGTAATTTGCAAATATTCGCAATTTGCGGCAGGGGTTGCCCGCAACCTCATGCAGGGAGTTACTTCATGTTCTATTTTAATTGTTATTCATTTCAATTGTCACTTTAGCCATTGTGTACTGAGCAACCGCAACAGCTATGCCACTACTACTTATTCCATATCACAGTTGCACAAGTTTCATTTCTGATTTTATAGGACTCACTCCAAAAAAACCCCCAAACAAACAGAAAAAGTGTTGAATTACCTGTCACAGCAGCAGAAAAAGGAGCATGGCGACGTCTCCAGGCCCCTGAACTTGCCGGAGTTTGGCGCATCGGTGCACTCAGCTATGAAGGCATGCAGGTCTGTGATGTGAATGGGCTCCTGGGTCTGATGCTGTACGACAACATATAAAAGTTTGACATTTACGTTTGGTTTCCTTTGTTCAGAGCCGGATTCCACTCAATTCTCGGTTATCGATGCCCAACCCTAAATCATCTGAAAGTAGTTAAAACAGAATAGAGCAGGGGTGTCAAACTCATTTCACATTGTGGGCCACATACGGCCTCTGTAGATGTCAACTGGGCCGGACCATTAAAATTGTAATGGTACTCTGCTATAAATAACCAAAATAATACCGGTATGTCTTTCCTTTGTTTCCTTTGAAGCACAAGAACATTAGGAAAATGTTGACATGTAATGAACGTATCTTTTACAAAACATTTCATGAAGCACCTTAGATTTCCTTAAACAAATGTGCAATTTACTTTTATCATTCACATATATGCATTGCAACTGATCCCACTGATTGTACAAAGGCACAAAACTTGAACAAGTAATTGGTATTGAAAAATATTGTAATGCATTTTAAGATTAAACTGGATTTATAAAGGCATTTTTAAACCATTTACACATGTGCATATAAAATCTAAATATAATCCCTGCCTACACCTTACAAACTGAGGAGAGTGCTATTAAATGTGTAAAGAATAAAGTATTCCTGTCTTTTCTTATCTTGATAGTGTCTGCTGTGTTGGGTCTGTCTCAGTGACAGACTGAGACTGCTATTGTCTTCTTCTCTGATCAAAACAATGTTGTCTTCTACTCTGATCAAAACCGTGTGTCCCCTAGCGGATACTCCACGAATTGCACCTTCTAAAAAAATATTCATTCCGTGTCTTTTATGCATTTTTTTTCACTTTTAAATGATCCTGCGGGCCTGATCGAATCTCCTTGGGTGCCGGTTCCGGCCCGCGCGCCGTATGTTAGAAAATGCTAGAAAACCTACATGTCCCTTTAAGACAAAAAATAAATAAATAAATAAATAAAACGGGTGTGGTTGGGTTTGCTGGCCTACCTTGATGGCCTCGTAGGCTCCGGTGATGAGCGCGATGAAGAGCGACAGCACCATGTAGATGAAGAGCGAGATGAACGTGTACAGGTACACTTGGCTGAAGAGCCACACCAGTGTGCTGCTCTCCTGCATTCCTGAGAAGGTCACGAACATGTCGTCGCCATTGATGAGGGAGAAGAGGCATTCCGACACCATGGATAGGGAGCGGAACTGGGGCACAAGGATACAGTCCAATAAAACACTTCTTAACATAATCTGACAACAGTAAATCTCTTCACACCAGAGGTTGGCAAACATTTTACACCAAGTACCACACTTAAAAAAAAATACTTAGCTCTCCAAGTGGTACCAAAATGACCAACATTAAAAACAGTTGCGTCGTAGGCCCAAGTACTCCGAGCGGGCGCTGGTTCACTCAGACCGTTCGGTGACTCAGAGCGTAGCTTCATTTTGTTGTTGGGTTACAGTAGACTAGAGCAGGCTAATTTGCGAGTCAATGTGGCGGCCATGTTGGCTGGGCCGACTGTCTCATCAAAGCAGAGACAATAGCTTAGCAGCGCTGTAAGCACGCAGCTAACAGGCGCATATGTTCTCTCTACAAATAGCTTTTTTTGTTAAATCAAGTGCTAGTAGTCCTTTTGAAAATATTTTTGTTGCAGCCCAGTTTGTTGTTTTTCACAACCTTTATCCATGTCATCGATTCATAAAAGAGGTGCATTCATAAAAGAGTGGAATTTCCCGTGGAATTGCCCGTATCGAGGCGCATGAACCGTTATCCTCCCCCCTCAGCAAGTTTGGATGAACTTTAAAAATTCAGTTTCAAGCTTTTTTTTCTTCTTTTTAAAAAAAAAAATCTTGACTTAAGTAATGTTATCCTGTGCTAGGGATTTTTAGGCTACAAAAAAAAAAAGTACAAAACAATTCTTGTTCTGTACTGGGTGTTTCAAAGCTACAAAAAAAATACTTCGATGCAGTCCGTTGAATTGAGGCTCTACAGTACTTAAAAGTAAGGTTGACTTATCGATGCGGTACCTTCACATGGTACGGTCCCAGCACAATCCAGCCGCAGAAGCAGTAGCCCAAATATATGACGGCCACACAGCAGCAGAAGCGGATCACGTTGGGGAAGGCTGCTCGAAGAGTTACGATCAGGATCTAAACGATGACATCATGGAGAGGAATACCACATTTTCTTAACTCGGTGCAAATCAGACAACAAAGTTGAATTACTACACGTGCAGCTTACGTTGTACTTCTGAAAGAAGGTGAGGTAGCGGATGACTCCCACCCACACCAGGAGGGTGGAGGTCCCCAAGAGGATGCTGCATAGATCATATGAAGACATATTCTGTCAAGCGACAGGGGAAAAGATGAACTCCCATGACGTCAAACAAAACATTCAACCTTTTCACTTACCTTGGATTCAATGCCAATCTTGATGACACTTCCGGTGATGGTGAGGATGTCGCTGACAATGAGGAGGATGTACCAGCCATTGATGAACTCCAGACGGTCGCCCCAGCACACTGTCCGATTCAGGTTCTCCTTAAAGAACCGCACAAACTCCTGACAAACATACAAACAAATAGTTCGGCATGCGTAACCTTCTGGGGGATTTTCAAACGCTTTAACGTTTTTTTTTTTTTTTTGAGGCAGTGCTGACCTGTTGGAGCACGATGCCACGTAGGATGGAGCGCCCACACAGTAACAACGATAGCGTGCACACAAGGGCCACGGCGACATCGAACGCCACACGGGTGTAATTCTCAGCTGTGGATTCAAATAGCGACATGGGGGGCTTCACTTTGAATTACTGTACCTTGCAGCCCCTTCTCAAATAAACCGTAGAAAGAGAACGCATGGTTTGGAAACAACAAGAATGTCGAGTCTGTCATGCCGATACGGCCCTCCTTGTTAATAGTACACAAGTTAAAATCTGAACAAGTTCAACCCTTAAAAAAAAAAAAACAAAAAAAAACATATCAAGGACTTGAACTAATAATAATCCTAATAATAATGTGGCCTGTGAGTGAAAGCGATGAATCTTTTGCTCCGTGCATATTGATCATGCTCACCATGTCCAGACACGCTGGGGTCTTTGCACTCCTTTATTGAAGCTTGGTTCTCCAGTCGTATCTTCACTTTCCCGCTGTGAGCCTTGTTGTCCAGCACGATCTACTTGGACACATAGCAACAGACAAATCATTTCTTGAACGAGGTGAGAAACTGATGAGACAGAAAACGAATGCCGTTTTGGACTCAAGACTTTTTTTCTTTTTTTTTTTTTGTCCAATGGTCGACTGTAGTTGGTGGCTGGCTAAAATGAGGAACATGTGGACCATGTATGCGTGTGTCACAAAATACACTGTAGAATCATTTGCATGACAAAACATTTCTTTTTTTTCTGAATTTTGTATCAGTAAAAAAAAAAAGTATTTTATTCAAACGGGTTAGCACTTCCGCCTCGTTAGTCGTGCAAGTTTCCTCATCAAGCAGACTTTGAACCTCCGTACTGAGCGAGTCATTTGCTCACCTTGATGTTAAAAGTGTAGCAATCGGGGATCTCGTTGTTGATGATGGTCTGCACATTGATGGCCTTCAGCTGAAACTCGATGGTGACGTTTATAAACCTTGCAGGGAGCATACAGGGTCACCAGTTGAGTAACCCAACAATGAGATGACCCGAAACAGGCTATCCACACGAGCTGTGGCGTGCATGCGTCGGCACTGATAATAAACGCGTCGAAACGCCACCCGATAAAATCTTTGCTGTGACGGAGGAGACCGACGGAAGAGTCGAAGCCATGTGAAAAATGAAGCCTTACTTGTGGAACTTGAGTGTAAAGTTCTTGTAGGAGCTGGTGAGCGGCGCGGGAGGCACAGACAGAGGGTTCACTCCTACGCAGTCTGGACAAGGAAAAGAGGTTAAAGTTGAGTCAACGTGGCGGATAAATTCAATTGATTGAGTCACTGAATAGTTGGCAGTTATCATCTCAAAGCTCATCATTGTTTCACATTTTTTTGGTGTGTCTTAAGTCAACAAACATTCGATGCCGCATTAAACTTCCTGATTTGCAACATGTTTACCCAAGATGCAAATTCAATTGTACTGATTCATATGATGTTTTTCCCCAGCTGCTTAATCTGGCCTTTTCCACAAAAAGTAACGCTAATGGATCATCGTGTCTTCAGAGTTCCTTTTTGAGAGGGGCTCATTTGCAAGTGGTCCATCTTTGTCGCGAAAAGCGAAATGAACGGTTCATGCCACAGACGGGACCCCCATTATGTGCTTACAAATACACCAGAGGGATCTGTTAAGCATCAGCGCCAGGATGAGGCACTTATATGCATTTGTGAAAAGTGTCGAAACAATTGCGTGTCATTGACGTTATTAAAATTGTACAAAGAGAGACGCGTGTGATACGCTACCGTCAGTTGACGACTGATTGTTCTTCATCAACAAAACTTATCACTGTTCATGATTTTTTTTTTTTCTAGTTTAAGAACTCTTGTTCTTTGGATTACATTTTGCTGTGGAGTGCCATGAAATCTGCGTAATTATCTCGTGACTGTCTTTACAAGATCGTGATGGCTGCATTAGCTGTCGACAGAGACATTTTACTCAAATAAAAACACCAGCAGCCTAATTTATTTTTTTTTTTGGGGGGGGGGTGTTAAACGAAACAAGTGTTTTTACGGTTACTGATCGAATCATTTGAAAATGGCCATCGTGTGTGTTGCTTTTTAAAGACAAATTGTGCCAGCAGAACAAGTTTGATCTCATTATCTCCGCACATTTTGGAAAGGACCGGTAACACAACAGCAGGGTTCATACTTTAAAGGAATTATTATTCCTTTTTTTTTTTTTAAAGCTCTTATTCTTTCATTTCAGTAAATAACACAATCATATGATGAATGACAATTGTCAAAAACGGATAGCTGAATAGACGGATGCAGGTACAGTATCGAGAGGAAGTGGGCATTTGTGGGGGCGTTCGAATGAAGACAGCACATGGCTGAGGTCTGCCCGTGCCTGACCTGAACGCCATTTTTATTTCCTCTGTTGCAGTTACTTCCTCCTAAATTAACATCACTTACAGGAAGCCATTAATACACCGACTCACGTGAGGAAGACATAAAATATATATCTCTCTATCTACTGATCTCAATACAGTATTAATGAAATTAATGTCTTCACAAAATGGAAAATGACCATACAAGCACAAAAAAAGGATCTTAATGTCCATGTCAGAGTTGAATACATGGACAAAGTAAACGTGACAATCAAGCTTCCTATAAGCATACTCTCACAATAAATCAGGAAGTGTCACATTGCAGAAGCAGGGAGAAAAAAAAAAACAAGTCGCTTTGTACTACACCTGTGATGATGTGTGGGTCAATGCTGAAGGTGTCATTGGCCGGGTCGATGCGGCCCCTCTTGTAGGATGTGCGGGTCAATGCTGAAGGTGTCATTGGCCGGGTCGATGCGGCCCCTCTTGTAGTACTGCTGGCAGAGGGACAGCGCGCTGCCGTTCACGCCGACGCCGTAGACGTACGCGTAGCGACCCACTGTGGTCTCTGGCAGGGCCAGATACTGCAACGGCAAGTTACAGGATTATCGAAGAAAGAGTTATCATTCACATTCTGAGACCGGCTGTTCTATTATTAATATGAATAAAATGACGTTTTTTTGGGGGTTTTTTTTTGGCCACGTGTGACAGTTGAGAAATATAAATGTGATCTAAAACCTTGCCTGTAACGTCAATAATGGTTTCGTGATCGTGACCGTAAAACCCTAGAACAGATTTCCTTTTCCCCCTTATCTCCAATAAATAAATTAATATCAATTTCAGGACTGAACCTCTGGTGTTGGGTTCCCAAGTCTGGTCAGCACACGGAGCAATCGGACATACCTGGTCCACAGCGTAGAAAATGTGCTCGTAGACATCCTGTTGCGTGTACACGGCAAAAGAGCTGTCTGATGACTCGTCAAAGTCTTTGAGGAAGAGGTACTTGAAGGTCACGGTGTTCTCCTCCTTGAAGGTCACCACCACTTGGTTGCTGAGGCCAAACAGCACCAACTGGAGCAATGAAGGGCGAGGTCAAAGATGACGGAGAGTTTTTTTAAATTTATTTATTCATTTATTTTTTTATACCTGAGCTGTGACGATGATGATCTTGAGCAGTTGCAGGATGAGCTTGTAAGGTTTACGACCTTTGGCGTGGAATTTGTCGCAGGGGCTCATGAAGAAATACTTCAGCTTCCTGCGAATGGCCTCCTCGCCGTGGTCGGCGCTCACCCACTGGGCCGTCATGGCGCTGGGGAACTGGTGGTTGCTGTGGTGGTTGCAGCGGGTGCTGTCCGGAGGCTCGTGTTCCCCACTGTCGTCCGTGGAGCCGTAGCAGCTCACCGAGCCGGCGGGGTGGCTCTCATCTTCAGTGAGAGTCACAATCACAAAACGGATTCAGATTACAACTGGTTTCTCATAACAGCGCGCATGCAGACACATTTAGTCAAAATTGGACAAAAACTGTCAGAAATATGAAAAGGCTTCGCTCGTCTCGTTTATCCACTAATTACACTCGTCATGGAAAATATAGATAATGACGCTTTTCAGGGTCTATTGCCGACGACTCCCCGAATTAAGTTCCGCCAAACTAACAGTTTTGTAAATTTCAAAACAGCAAGGCTGCAAAAGGAACATCCGAGTGATAATCATTATCCAATGTATGAAAAAAGGAATGCCACTGGAAGGAAAGTAAGCATCACATGAATTCAGATGAGTAAAGGAATACAAGTCCATGCAGTCTATTTGTACTCGCTTGGCATAAAGCGACTCGAATGAATGCAAAACATGTCCGAGCTCGTATTTTGCTGAAGTTCACGGCTGAAAGTTCATTCTTTCTTGACAAGTAAACAGAGTAACTTGCTTAGTCACGGAAAGAATTGAACTTGTAGTTCAAGCTAGCAGTGACTGTACACTGTTAAAAAAACAAAAACAAAACAAGAAAAAAAAAAATCACTGCACTGCAGGATTTCCACAACATGCAGACAGATTTAGGTTAAATTAAATATATATATATATATCAGGGGTGTGAACAATAAAGCACAACTTTTAAATAGCTAATGTGGTCAGTTAGAGTCTAACTGTTAGACTCTTTAGAACTTGACGACATTTTGTTTGAATTCCTGCACACAATGAAGGCCAGTCATGTTTTTAATCCATGTCACATGGTTCAGATCATAAGGCCACCGGATGGTCTGGCAGAAAAAAAAAAAAAAAAGAAATAAAAATCTGTGCCAACAATCCACAACTGCAGAACACACAAAACGTGAAAGATTTCTAAATTTCGGTTTTCATCAAGACACGTAAACAGCTGATTCAACTTCCTGGATTGGAAATGAGAAGTGTGACCATCGTGTGTGAATAAACATGAAGTGCAAATGGCTTTCCTGTCATACTCTGGACTAAAACTGACAGAAAGTAAGAGGACAAAAAGAAATAAAAGATGGCTGAGGTACCACAGAAATGTCATCGCTTTCAACACAGGAGGAGGGGAGAAGTGACTTGTTCAAGTTTACATCCCCATGCAGAAATTGCAGATTGACCTTCCACGTAAGCACCATCCTGCTGCTTTGTTACAACATCCGGGATGTGTAAAATTGCCAAATGGGCTTTATCTCCGTCACCGTTTCGTTCCGGTGCCCTACATGCGGAACATGACACGAGACGTTAAAAAAGTGGAAAGACAAAGAGCGAAAGGTGCTTCATAAGAACCAGCGGCGTAACAGTGTTTTAATAAAGCTGCTGTGTGGAGGTGGTGACAACCTTTGCGTGCCAACGGAGCAGACAAGAATCCAAACACTTAAGATTTCAGGCAGACAAAAAAAACAAAAGAACGAGGCAGAGTCGACGCGTATCTCCCATCAGGGGAGCGTGCCGATCGTCGCGCTCGACGAAGATTGGACAAAACAAAACGGGGGCACACGCCATGCCTTGGCACACACTGTCACTCAAGCGGAGCGTGATCCGCAGAAATATCTGGCTCTTTGGGTTCATGACCGTCTGCGGAGAGAGGTCGGCGGCCGAGCGGCCCGCCTGTCAATCAAATGGTCTACGAGCGGCTATCGGTGTCAAACATCTCGTCTGGTAGCAACGCCTTCAGAGGCCAAAAAGTAGCACGCGATTAAACATGAAATAAAGGGAGATGCCTCATTAAAAAGTGATAAACAGCTCCTTTAAAAAAAAAAACATTTTGTGTCACGTTTCAGATTATTCTCCAAGTTAATCACTTTTATAAATAAACAGCAAACTTTGTGCTCCCATTCAACACTGCTTGCAGGTGTTGTTTTATTGGTACCTCAATACAGTGTTAGAAAAACTCGCAGAATGATGCAATGCAGTCATGTGAATTAATACAACATCATCTATCTATTCTTCTTTCGCATAATAATCGAACAATACAATTATTGTTGTTATTTTTAGGTATTAGATACCACTTTTTTTATACCGATACCATTACAATTGCTCAACTCTTGAGTAGTCACTGATACCAAGTACCAATACCACCAGTAACTTTGATACAATTTCCTCCGATGACAGATGATTTGAAAGAAAAACAAATAACCGAATATAGCATTTTTTCCTTAAAATTGCATACAATTGATTTTTTTGTATCTTTTTCTATTTCAAAATTGTATCTTAATGGGCACCTGTCAGACATGTATGGCCTCTAGTTCCCGATTGTGATACGGCCACAAGATGCGTTGCAAGTACAGATACCTTGAAACAAGGCCCAATATCGATACTTGCCCGTCCCTAGTTTTTATCAACTGTAATATTTGATAATTTTAATATTCACCTATGTTAAGTTCTTATATTGAGAGGTGTACCAAATAAATCATGTGAGTGGTTCATCTGATGGGACAAGACAAAAGTCACAAGAACAACCAAATGAGGTGAGAGTAAATAAAACAAATAAAAATCCATTTGAATCTACACCTGAATCTGCTGAAGTCAAAAAAAGTTCTTTTAAAATACAATTGACATGCTCAAAATTGTTTGATATTTGGTCATCAAAATGGTCCGACATTATTTGAATTAAAGATAAGCATGATAGGAAAATATTTGACAGTTTTTTTAAGAGGATGGATAAATATTCGGGGTCAGAGAATTCATGAATTGAAGGCAGAAACACGACATGGCATGTTTTACCATGATGTTATTTACACATCACATCAGTTCGCAACAATTTTTCAATCTCGACGTTAGTGTTTGGTGAGGATATTAAAAATGAATCCAGTGTATCAACGTGGATCACGAGGTCGTGGAATTATAGAATGGTCTCGATGATGCCGAATGTTTTTGCCCAAACAACTCAAGTTGTCCAGAAGAAGGCTTAGCAAGAAAGCTAAATAAGAGCGCACTTGCAAAACGTCACAACGCATGACGCAAAAAACAGACTCAAAGTGTTCAGTAAACAGATATGACACATTCGCACGAAAACAACGCGAAAATAAAAAGTCACGAGAAACCAATAGATGTCGGTGTTACCTTACCTGGGTTGTCATGTTGTTCCCTCGCTGACATGTTTATGTTTGAAAATATATACACATATGTATATATTTATTGAGTTCCGGTGGGTTACAAAAGAGAGTTGTTTACTTTTCGTACTGTAATTGTTCAAGTTTGGGGGCAAGAGAATGAATATGGGACGTCTGCTGCTGACTCGTTTCCGGAATCGGGTCACGTGACGACCCGCCACGTGACCAAGAGGAAGTTATCACCCCAAAAGAAAGATACGGTGTGAAAAGAAACACATTTCTTCACCGCAGCCAAAATAGACAAACGCGTTATTTAAATTAATACTCAATCGCTGGTGTAAGTGACATTGTGAAAAGCATATATATTTTTTGATTTCATTTTATTGTGTGCCTAATGATTTTCCCACTAGAGGGTAGTACAATAAATGAAAACTTTGACATACCTTTAATAAACAAATATACTATCAACAATAACATACATAATAACAGATATGAAATAGATTACGTATAATATTTGGCGTACAACTTAAGTTTATTAAAATCTAAGCACATAGTTATACAGTGCAGCAAAATATAACCAGTTAGTCTGATAGCTTTGCAAATTTCCATGTAAGTTAATAAGAAAGGCTTCTATTAAATTATTGACATCCGGGATCGTTGAAGGAAAAAAATCAATTTTGATGGAAATAATTTTGATTTATTATACACTTATACGACAGGTCATTGAATAAATAAGGTGAATTTATCGGTATATAAGGTCTTCTAATACAGATAGAAACTTACTTTTTTTAAAAAAAAATTTTATGCAGTCTCCCAGCACTGTCACACACTTTTCCCATCTGTGCACTGTGTACTCTCACATCCCCCCCCCCCAACCCCCACTGTAAAGTGTTTCTATTTATTTTCGACTTCTCAAAACTCCACTGTCAGGATACGCTAATGATGGACTTTCACTTGATGACTGATGATGTTGTGACCTTTGCGATATGCGTGGGGGCAGTCGCCTCTTTAGTCCAGGATGCCTCTTTCTGTTGGCTGAATCAATATTTGTAGCCGTGTGCTCGTCCTCAGGGGCATAAGTGCACACACACACTTCTAGTCACCCTACTGCGCCTGAGAACATTGTAAAATTAGAAAGTGTCCGCATGCTTTCTCTTCTGTCTACCTGACGACTGCTTCGAGTCACCTTTATTCATCTATACAGAGATGCCGTCTTTTCGAGTGTCACTCTTCATTTTGGCGTCATCCTACTGCTTCACTTTAACATCGTGCAGGCCAGCAGGTATGTTTTGGACACTGGTTATTTACTGTATTGTTTTTGTTTTGATGCACTTGTGGTTTGGCCTAAATTCTTCTGACCAATCCTGAACAAGAGTGCTTGTCTTTTTTTCATCCAAATTTACTTACTGGCCACAGAAAAGGATCTCATCTTTTAGCTTTACCCCAATAATAAGTACTACATTTGAAGTTTAGAGCAGTGATTCAGCTCACAGACCACAACTAATGTGTTTTGTATTGGTGTGTCGAGACCTTTTTGTTATGTTAAAAGATGAAAAAAGATTGGGGCAAAAACACTGATCTCGAGTCTTGTGCATTGGGTTTCATTCGAATGACCTTTATTCACAGCAGTCACGGCGACGCTTTAACAGTCAGTAGTCGTAGTAATAGGATTCCTGCCACCGAATGCTGTTGTGTAATTGCTCAGTCGATGGATTGTTGGCTTGAATCCATCCATCCATTTTCTGAACCGCTTTATCCTCAAAAGGGTCACGGGGCGTGCTGGAGTCTATCCCAGCTGTCGTCGGGCAGTAGGCGGGGTTTTAATCGAGTTTTTTTTTGGGGGGGGCAGGGGCTTAAATGTGTGTATATTTCTTGTTTGCAATCTTGTCAAGGAGTTTCATGAATGGTTGAGACGTCACATATTTTCATTAAATAAAAAATAAAAAAAAGCGGACAAAGAAACAATATATGACAAAGCATATGCGTCAATAGTATTCAAATGGAATAATGCCCAGTGAGCTCGAAACAGCTCTGCACTTGCTAATTTGGTTCATTGACTGCGAGTTGTGATGCCTAAATATCCCCAATGTCTGTATGTCGGTCTGTCATGTCTATCTATAGAGTGAACAAGTTGGTCGCACATGTGCTTCACATTTCGGAAGTGACTATAAGAGGTGGTGATAGATTAAAACGCATCCTGACAAATTTGGCCTCTAGTATACTGTATTATTGCTGTAGAAACAGAACTCCGTTGAAAACCCAAATGCCCCCAGGCCCACCCCGACCCTTAGACAGTCCAATAATTGCATTACTTTTGTGCCATGATTTGCGTTCTACACTGTCAGGTGGCCACCTACGGAGTATGGAAAACTTCATCCATGCAGTGCAACAGGTTGAAGAGTCCAACCCGGGTGTGTCGCCCCTGGAGCTGGTTAGGGCCTTGCGCAGGACCGCTGGTCATGACGACGCCATGACTATCCATTACCTGAGTGCTTCAAATACCCTCAGCGATGCCGCAGAGCTAGAGACCACCATCCTAAATGCCTCATCCTTCAGCTTTTTTGACAAGGCAGTCCACCACATTGTGACGGACAGTGGCGAGGAGCGAGGGGTGACGCTGACCCCGGACGGCACCACGGTCGCCCTGGCACCATTGCTACTGGGGATCGAATCCGGACTCAAAGCCAAGCAAGAGACGACCTCAGCAATCGGACTCTTTCCTCTCACCTTGGGAAGGACACTTGGGTTATCCTTCCTCAGCCTTCAGGACATCCCGGTGTCCTTTCGCCTGGGGCCTGACGGGTGCTGGGACAGCGTAGAACGCCCCAAGGTGTTCAGATTGTCTTGGCCTGCCACCCTGGCCACTGACGCAGTTATCAATGGGGGTATGGACGGAGTAATACTGGGCACGGACATCAGCCTACTACCCACATCTGAAGAGCCACATGCTCTTAGTGAGATCCTAAAAGAATACTACAGTTTTACCCTGCATGCAAACCAGGGTCTTGATACATTGTCCAGACATGTTAGTCCAAGGCGAAGGGAGATTTCTCGATCTATTTTGGAGCCCCTTGACCTTCAGAAGGAGGTGATGGACACACTCAAACTGGTCTGGAGGTTGGAGAAGACAGAGTGGATCGCTTTGGACACTGGAGTCAACAAGTCGGTGAAGGAAGGACTAAGGGCATTTGTGCACAAGTACTGGGGTAAGTCACAACACTATCACTTCATTTCAAACCTAACCACTAAACTCAACTTAAATCCAACCTAAAACCTTAACATTGACTATACGCTAAATTGACTTTGACTTACTCCTCAAGGTTAACCTGACCCTAGCTCAATTGTTGGACAAGATAGTGGGCATCAACCTTCACCTTAACTTAACAGTGGCCTAACTGCGGCTTAATGCTAAATTCATCCTAACCCCTACTACAACCCGAATCCCCAACCTTAACCCTGACTTCGAAACTTAACCCGAACCATAACACTAAACCTACCCCTAATTTTAATCCTGGCCCTCAACATAACCCAAAGAGTAAAAGTTCAGACCTCCATGAAAAGCCAAACCTAATTGACTGAACACCAACATTTTTTTTTTTTAATATTAGCTCCCCACCTTCTGCAACATCGTACCCCACAATGATAAGAAAAATGAAACCCAAGACACAAATGACCTTCTGCTGCAGATTGTCCTCAAATCATCTCTCGCTGCCAGTGGAGGGCAAAGGCTCACAAGGGAACCCCCATACCGCTATCTTTACCCCTCCAATTTCTCTACGTTCACCACACCTATGAGCCCTCGAGGCCCTGCTTGTCCTTTCCAGAGTGTTCCAAAGACATGAGAGCCATGCAGCACTTCCACCAGAAAGTCCGCAACTGGAGCGACATTGGATACAGGTGACACGTTTTTAACCAACTGCTTAATTTTCATAACAATTTACAATGCTGAATTGCTGCTTAAAATTCCTCAAAGAGAGTTGGAATTTCTGAGAAAAATCTGTTGGGTGAGGAACCCCCCCCCCCCTCGCACTACACTGTTATGAGAAATTAAGGATACAGCGTCTATTTCTTTTAGAAAGTATAGTACAGTATAGCCAAGTTAGAAATGAGATGCTTTGCATTCAGCTAGCGTAGTTTTATTAGCATATGGCCTGTAACGTTTCCCTGATGACAAACAGGGGTAGCCATTTTCATTCCAAGCAGTCTACATTAAACACACCTGCTCTCTCCTGTCAGCTTTGTGGTGGGCTCGGATGGTTACATCTACGAAGGCCGCGGTTGGAACCACGTTGGAACGCACACGCGAGGACACAACAACCTCGGACTCGGCGTATCCATCATCGGCAACTACACTTCCACACTTCCATCGCGTCACGCCATGGACCTTCTACGGCATCGCTTGACGCGCTGCGCCGTGGACGGAGGAAAGCTTGTGGCCAATTACACCATTCATGGCCACAGGCAGGTGGTCAACTACACTTCCTGTCCCGGAGATGCGCTCTTTTCTGAAATAACACACTGGGACCATTTCAGACACTGAGTCCTCCATATTGTGCATGAAATACCATCGTGCACATTGTCATATTTAAACTCTAGAAGGCATGCTCATCATAATGATAAATTTTTCACCGCATGTGATTCGGATTGAGTTGGCATTTTGTTAATGTGATCCCTTTTGAATTTTGTAAGTCTCAATGCTATCCTCTGCATGCTTCAAAGTTCAAAAGGTATCAAACACCTGTAAAAGTAAAAAGTGTTTTTTCCTGAAATATCATTTCCATATTTTTTTTTTGCTTCAGATTAATGATTGCAAACTTAGTCTATTAAATTTTTCACTATATAAAGTAACAATATTTTTAAATTGCTCAATGCGCGATTGTTTCCAGATAACAGCATTAGATGCAAAAGCTGAATGTACGCAATTTTCAAAATGATCGAACATACAAAATCAGAAAGACTATAAGGCTCAGACTCGGGTCAATTAATGTAGCCTAGCGTTCAAAGCATACTCGGTGAAGCAGAATTTAGTTGTTATGCTGCACGCGAATGAAATGAGCGACCAACAGAATTGAAGTCAGTCCTGAGTGTAAACGCTTTTCAAGCCAGGTGAAAGGTTTACGTTCCCCCCCCCCACCCCCCTACTGTTTAATATTCTTATTTTTTAATTCTTTTTAAATCAATTTCACAAAGAGCTACTTATTTCCTGTCAATGTTTTAAATGTTTTGAGAGTCTTCCGTTCATGTGTTGTCACTGAACGTTCTTCATTTCCCTCTGCTTTTGGATGGAGTTAGCTGTTGTGTTTTGAAATGCGTTTAGGTTTTGTGTCTTTGGTTCTGTGAAGCACAATGAGTTTCCTTGTTTATGAAATGTACAATGCAATTAAAGCTGCCTTGCCTATGACGACTAACCAGCTGTACTTAATGCCATTGTTCATAAAATGCTTTTTAACATTTGCATCTTGCAATAATTGTCATGTACACAATCTGTTCTGTCTGAGAGCTTCCTCAATCACTCCCATTTGTCTGAAACACAAACAATGATGACAATGCACTTGGTTTAGAAGATTATCGTGCATAGAGTGCCACCCAGTTACACAAACAAATGAGGACATGAAGATATTAGGATTACTCATTGTTAAGGTGGGGCAATGTCTTACACCCTCAAAGGAAAGTCAATTAATTCTCACGAAACATTGCATGGCAAAAATACAATTTAGCTTTTTTCTCGCAAATGATCTTTTTCCAACTCATTTCTCTTTTCATACTTTTTATTCACAGAATGTTTCAATTGCTCTTTCACAAATCAGCATGTTTTCTTTAAATGACAACATAATCCAACTGTATGGTTGTCAAATGTAAACTTGTAAACTTCGATGCCATACTGACATTATTGGCTTTATTTTGAAGTAACATAACATTTTCTAATATATATACATATATACATATATATATATATACATATATACATATATATATATATATATATATATAAATATATATACATACACACATTGTAAATGTGTATATATGTGTGTACATAAATATATAAATAAAATTAGAACCTTTTTCTCGTAACATAACTTAAATCTTAAATCTTGTGGTTATGTTTTCATTCTTGTAATATTTTCACAAACTGTAAAAGTATGACTTTCCCCATAATATCGTAATTAATATTTTTCATATTCTTCACTGAAAAGTTTGACTATACAGGATTAGTTTCATTAAAAACAAAACAAAAACACTTTAAGCTATATCTGACAGTACATATCTTCTCTGCTGAAGGGAAAGTACAAGGATCACAACAATTGAATCAGTCATTGGCCATAAACATTCGGAAAATCCCCATGGGGAACTGGAATGAAAAGAAGGAGTGAACAAGTGCACACCTAAACTAAGGAAGTAAGAAGTCAAACAGAGAGCACTTACTATATAAGGGGAGTCGAGGGAAAAGAAAACTGATGGAACACTGGCTGGCAGGGAGTCATCATCGTCAAGACGCAGGTATGATCTCTCTCTCTGTTAGACTGCGACATCACAATCGAACAACATTCACAAACGGCTTGCTCAGACATTTGGCGAACTCGAGAGAGAAGCTCTAACTTGGTGTTTCATTTCCTCCTTGATGGTTGAGCTGGCACTTTATAGACTCAACATCGAAGCAATTAAAACGTCAATTTTTGAATATTTCCCCTTTAAGAGAGGTTACTTTCGGTTTTTCTCTGCTGGTTTGGCTCGTTTCTTGAAAGCGAAAGGACATTCTTTAAATGATAAAAAGCATTGGGCCAAACGGTCTGACAGCTCCGCGCTGCGCAGCACTTCGGCTCACTCGGAAAAGCGAAACTCTTTCCCAAAACTGCTCACGCATGCTTCGAAACTTCATTCCTTTCCCATGTAAGGAGCCAGTGCCGTCAAAATGTATTTTGTTGCATTTAATGCCTATTTTCTACTGGTACTACTCACGATCATTTGATTTTGTTTTACATTATGCAGTGAAACGAAACTAGTCTCTTTCCGCCTGGAGGGGTTCGCACATTGACGAGAACGATGGGTAAGTGTGGCTCTTTTCTTTCGCCTCTTGTGAGCGGACGATGTTGATGATAAATCACGTGAACACATTTCAATTTGCACGTTTAGGCTACGGGGACATCATGAAGGTTGACACAAGCGGAGCATCCGTGAAAACGGCGGGTCAAGACAGGCTGACATACGCCGGTAAACAGCCGCGTTTACTGCCTTGATTTCGAAATGGAGGGCCAGTTGAGAGCAAGATCTCAGTTTCGCTCTCACTCACTCACAAACACACACACACACACACACACACACACACACACACACACACACAGGAAAAAAAAAGAGAGACCCCTCTTGTTTCGAACAGATGTAGTGAAAGGCGTAAAGGAAAAACAATGGCGTTTTGTGTTTGTTGCCATCAGCCTTTTCTGGACTGAAGCAATTTTTGCTGGCCCAAACCAAAAATTTTCCCCACCCACCCCTGGGTGGTGTCTCTCCTTGAAGGCGTGCCAGCATCCAACACCATGGCTCAAACGGATCTCGGCAGAATGAACAATTACAAGGCCATCATTCAGGAAGTAGGAGGGAAAAAGGACGTTGATCCTGCTATCATCGCTGGCATCATTTCCAGAGAGTCCAGAGCTGGAAACGTACTGGTGAATGGCTGGGGAGACAACGGCAACGCATGGGGACTCATGCAGGTTGGTAGCGCACGTTATAATAATGACATAATAGAATGAGTTGGAAGTGATTTTCCGGCGTCCTAAGGTGTAGCCAGCCTCTCGCTCAAAGTCCGTTGACCCTAATGAGGACAAGCGCGAAAGAAAATGAATGGATGTACTGTAATTCATTCGGAATCCTAATGGAAAATTCTGTTGCTCTCCTCTCTACTTGACCGTAATACGCGCAGGTTGATAAAAGGTATCACACTCCACAAGGCGGCTGGAATAGCGAGGAACATCTCAGCCAAGGCACAGACATCTTGATCAGTTTCATCAAGCAGATTAAGGGAAAGTTCCCGAGCTGGACTGCAGAGCAGCAACTCAAAGGTTTGTTTGTTCACTCTTACATGACACATGCGCCATCTTCTGGTTCACCTCGGATTCAATTTTTGCAGGCGGGATAGCGGCCTACAACATTGGTGTCAGAGGTGTCCAAACATATGAGCGGATGGACGTAGGCACGACTGGAGACGACTACTCCAGTGACGTAGTCGCCAGAGCTCAGTGGTACAAAAGCCAAGGAGGCTTTTAGCTTGAAAACGATGCAGTGGAGGAAAAGGCCTCATCAAGCCTGAATAAACGCAAGTCGAAGCAGCAATGTGTTTCCGTCTTGTTCTTTACCAAGTCCAACAAATTATGAAAAGGAATTTTTCAATCGTGATGCTTCTCCAGACTTTCAGCACACCGTCTTTCAGGTGTTGTTTTCAGTGTGCAAACTGTTCCACGGGGTTTAATGCAGAAGATTGACATGTTTAGGTCTAAACGTGGCTGGGTAAACTTTAGTGCTCAAGGGCCACCATTTTTTTTCTCAACGGACAAATGGTCAGGTTATTCATAGATGAGGATTTAATCTAAATTGCCAAATATGAAATAATTACCATGACTACTACTAATAATGGCTTCACGGTTGTCGCCTGGTTAGCGCGTCCGCCTCACAGTTCAGAGGTTGTAGGTTTGAAAATCACTTTTTGGAATGACTTTCAACTCTTTCTTACACGGCTTCATTAAGCCAACTTAATGCATTGGCGGTTAAATAAGTGTCCATGATGTCAGAAGTTTTAGAGGCGTCGTGTCCAAGTTTAGGAGATAGAACAAATTGGGTCTGTACAAAATCTTTATTTGTTCAAAGGATCAAGGAAAAAACATGAAATGTACCAATATTAAAATAACAGTTGTATTAAATTGGCCAACTTCATCCACTTTCTGCAATTCTTAGTATTGCGTAGTGCACATGAATTCTGCAAATTCCATGCCAAGGTTATGGCAACTTATCCCAACTTAACCTCTCTGGTTTCAATTTGTGCTGCGGTGCATTTAGGCTTTCGAACCTGAAATAGTTGGGCCTCATCTCCACGTCTCTGCCAATCTTCCGTTTCATTCCGAGTCTCCCAAGGATCCCGGTGGGGTGTGATGTGGTTTGTGTCAGCGGTGGGCACAGTGGTGCTGCCACAGGTCCACAGGCTCCTGGAAGCTGAAGAGGCAGCGAGGGCAGCGGTGGGGCCAGTCGCCTCGGTGCTTGCGGCTGTGCGTGATGAGGTTGGAACTCTGACTGAAGCCTCTGCCGCATATGTGACACACGTGGGGCTTCTCGCCTAAGACGCAAGTCATCATCATCATCATCTGCCACAAAAATCCACTTTTTGGACTTATCGGAGACTTCACGTATCACATTTAAAAAGACTAACTTCACAGGCCAGAGACCCACCCGTGTGTATGAAAGTGTGTTTCTTCATGTCCGACTTTTGGTGGAAGCGCTTGCTGCAGTACTGGCAGGCGTAGGGCCGCGTGTCGGAATGTATGAGCAGGTGAGTGGACAGCGTGGAAGAGCGTTTGAAGACTTTCCCACACACGCTGCAGCCAAATTCTCTGCCATCCTGACACACATAAAACACAACATTTAATGTCATTTTCTTGTCCTGTTTGGTCACTGTGGTCTCATGTGCCCTTTTTATTTTAAGATCCTGTAAGGTGAATTCAGACATTTGTTTCTAAGTAGATCTATTATTTGAAGATACTTGCTGATAACGTGGTAAGACTGCGGAGTGCGTCATTTGTGGATATTAAGCTCTTTTTCGCCCAATTAGTTTAAAACAGCGCCCAGTGTTGCACATGGACGAGCAGCTCGAGTTGCCCCTCCCCCTGCGAGGTAATTTCTCTCGTCTCGACATGGAAAGCCCCACGACAACTTTTTGACATATATAGTTGAGGATTAACCTTAGATTTGCAAGTGGCTGTATAGTGTTTCACACAGCTGACACGGCACCAATTTCAAATCAACGTCAATGCTTTCAAATTTTTGCGTCCAACTAATTCTTACCTTGCCCTTGCAGGATTCACCATCTGTTGTGTATGATGTGATTCCATGACACTTGTATGCATGCCGCTTAAAGCTGGGCAAATGGGTAAATACCTGCAAAAAGAAAATTAAGAACACACATTAGCAAGCTGACGTTTACTTGTTGAACGTGTTATTATAATGGAGAAATTGCCAACTTTGCCACAGAGTGGACACTCTTTCCCGGCAGAAATCGTCTTTGCGTCGTTAGAGTCGTGCTGATCTAAGACTCCCGTTCCTGATGATTTTTGGGTGTCTGAAGTCATGTGATGAGGAGTTCAGAAATACTATTTGAACATCTTAAAATGATGCTACTTAACTGAAATTCTGATGGCATTGATTACCTTCACAGCATTGGTTACCACAAACCGGCTGCAGTGAATCGAGGGTGACCGTGTCAACACCCTGTGGAGCAGCTGTGGCATCCCGCAGAGATGAGTCTCGGGGCCTCCTTTCATTTTTGACTATGCCCATTCTCTGTTCTGATTGAAGGGGGTGCAGCCCTCCTCTCTTCACCAAGAAGGAACGAGGCATCACTCTGGAGGAAGGACAAGCCGACATTCGTCCCAAATGCAATAATGCTGATTAATGAGAAGGAATTCTGCAGTAAGGAATTAGCGGCAATTACGTTGCCATCTTAATCTTACATTTGACAACAAAAAGTGCACTTTTTCCCCGGACAGGCTGCCGACTACTTGAAAACACTTTGTAAGGTATTTCCAGTCTTGTTGAATAACGACAATAACGGCATTTGATTTTGATAGCAGCGGAAAATCCATTTTGAAAAGAAGTTCTGAGCTGCTTGCAGTAATGCTCCACTACAGTGTGTCAGAGTAAATGAAGAACAAATGTGACAAAAAGGAGCATTATGACAGTATAACAATATAGTCTTGTACACATTCATTGATGACAACCGATTGCATACTGGAGTACTCCCAAGACCCCCCCCCCCCCCCCCCCCCAGCCAAAAAAAAAAGTACTCAAAAGGGAATCTTCATTAATAATTGTAATAAAATTGTAACAATACAATTATACCATTACTGTACTATGAATAAAATCCAAGATAAATTTCACACTCAGAAAAATATTTTTTAATGGTAACAACACACCAAAAATAAAATTAGATTTTTTTTCTAATTTTGTACTATATGTGCCTTTTTTTTTTTAAGCTTTACTGATTACCTTGATGAACACGAATAAACAATTGCTGTGAAAACTTACCAGAAATGAAGGCCACCCCTGAAGCAATCCGGCAGAAACTCATAAAATAAGCAAGTGAATGAAGGTAAAGTGAGGTCACGGTGTCTGGTGGATTCTAAAGCTCTCATGAGAAGGAAACGCTTTCATCTGTGACGTGACAACCGCACTGCTTCCTCACACCACCACCACACTGTGCACATTCCTGTCAAAGCAGAAATCTGGTCATTTACAAAAGCACAGTTAAGTGCATGTTGAAGACTGCACAGGCAACGTCTAAAACGGGGTACAAACATACCGAAAATCGGATCGATTTTGAGTATTTTCCGTCCACTTCAAAGTCAACAAAGACCCGATTTGGTAGATGTCTGAAAAATTATTTTCAGCGATTATCCTGTGGTGTGGAGTGTGATTTTTTTTTCCCTCCCCGATCTTCTTGGATAACAGTAGGGGCGGATAATCGAAAATGTTCATCTGATGATCTGTTCGATGTTTACAAATTCGGCTAGTGCAGCTTTACAAACAAGCTTAGATTTTTTTTTCTTCGGCTACAACCTTTATCCTCTTTACATTTTCAGACAGTCTAGTTATTCTCTGGCGCCATACTGCCTCACGCAGGTGAGTCTTGGGATTTCAACAGACATCTGGTTTAGGTGAGGGCACTAAAATCATCTTTCCCCATTGAAATGAATGAAAATGCCATTAATCTGTTCCAGCAGACCCAAAAAGACATTTTTTTAAAATGTATTATTTCATAAGAGAAAATAGCACACTTCAGTATCGCACTTTGAGTGCAGATTTTTGTTTGAAAGAAAAAAAAACAATATCCCGAAAACCTCGTAAGACGGTTCAAACAAGGTATCCTGTAAGAGCTGTCAGCCCACATATGCCAGTATTTTCCTCACCATGCGTGGGTTCGCGCACATTCTCAGAATCGGTGAAGATTTAGAAAATTGGCATGTCTGTAAATGGATTTTTAAATTCTTAGGTATCATATCAGCATAAAAAGAAATTGACGGCTGGTCATGTGTGTACTCACCAATGTCACACAGCCCGGTGAAGGAAAGTGATGCAAGTCGCTCAGCTCACTTTGCGATCGACATAAGTGGATTCCCTTGTTCTTTTATGATTGACAAGAAATTGCAGACCCAGCAATATCGTTAATTGAAATTTGGGGTATCAGAAGTATTTGGGATATCAGTACTCTGTATGTGAGTACTTAAGAGTGAATACTCGTACTGGTATCAGAGCATTGTTGACCACCCATCATTAAGATTAACCAATTTCGGGATACTTGTTGCCATTAAGATCACTTAAAAAAAACAAACAAAAAAAAAAACGTACGCTCAAATTTCAAGATAGTCACTTCAATTGCTGTAATAAACAGAAAGCAGATAACAATGTGCCCTGGCTGGTCCGCTGACAGTAGAGGGGTTGCCATGGCTTTAATAACAAATCGACTCTTAAAATGGCCAAGTATCAACAACATTTTTTAAGCACTCGGTGCTCAAATTTCTACATATTGTTGCTTTAATTGACGTCGTGTAACAAGCATATCACAGTAATTTTTCCAAAATTTTAAATTAAAAAAATCATTTTGACATTTCCTCATGCAAGACTGCAATTTCTTGATGGTGAATTTGGGGGGGGGGGGGTTGTGATAATTTTTGAAGCTGCAGCATTTTTAATTTCAAATTTCGGCATACTGTTGCTTTCACAGATGTAATAGGACACAAGCAAACCTTGACAAAAGGTGCAATGATCAAGTTTTATTGAGTATTGTTCGTGGGATACAGAACACGGAAATGTCTTTCATTGTAGTACTAGACTTTATAGAACACAGGTGTCAAAGTCAAGGCCCGGGGGCCATACCTGGCCCACCACATCATTTTATGTGTCCCGCGAAAGCAAATCAAGCATGTCAAGTTCCATAATGCTTGCTAACGTCTAAACCAAAATTTCAAATTGTCACATGTAATCCAAAATAACAGTCATTATTCTTGACTTCTGATTTTAAAACTAATTTGTCCATCAATTTGTTGTGCGCTGTGTATGTAATATGTGGGGGTGATTAAACAGTTATATGGTTTCCCAAAATTCATAACGGCCCTCCAAGGGAAACCGTAACTAGAATGTGGCCCGCGATAAAAATGAGTTTGACACCTCTGTTATAGAAGCTTTAGTTGTATTCAGCGTACGCGACAAGTACATTGGTCAGAATGGGACAAAAGGGAGAGAGAAGGATGACGAAAATGTTTGACACCACACGGAGAACACGGTGCCATCGCATTAAGTTGCCTTAATCGCCAAAGTCTTGCTACACAAGGTGTTCAAATGCGACGAGGTGTGGAGTTTGGACGGAAATGTACGTTTATGGCACGTGACTGATGTATGATCAGGACAGGAAAAACAGATGGGATGGCAGTAGTCTAAATGATGCAATAATAAAGCAAGTATCACCCAGTATTCAGAAAAAAAATAAAAAGTTTGTCACAGTAGTTGTAGTCACATCACAGCAGCGTCACTTTAGAGCCGAGCTGTTCGGATTTACAGAATGGACAATTGTCCTCAATGGACAATGGAAATCTGAAGTTGTGGGCATGTGTGCCGCCTTTGGCAGTGAATGAAATGTTTTGAAGCCTGCGCTGTTGAATTGTGGGTGAAGTTCCATTCTCCATTTACATGAGCACCACCGTCAATTTGAATATTGTAGAAAAGTTGATTTCAGTACCTGGTTCTTCATCAAGAGCGTTTTTTTCCGTTCACTGTAAGCGATACACAGCAAATCATTACGTGTTTTGAACTGAGCTATTGAAATAGTTTTCCACAAAATTCATACCTATTGAGATACACATTGAAGTGACTGTCAATGCCTTGAAATCAAATCTGACCCACCCCCTGCCCCAAAAGTAACCATTTGAAAATCTTCTGGTTGGCTTGTCCGTCACCGAGGGACCATATAGACAGCTAGGTTAGCTTAACATGCTAATCGCTAGATACTGTAGCTAGCCTCTATGCACTTAGTCGCTTGTTATCAAAAGACATTGCGTAAACAAAACACAAGACCGATGATTGCGATAACTGCGTTGTTTAACATTAGAGGTGCAGCTAGTGTTGTTGTCATTCCTATGTGCCTTTTCAAGGTTGGAAACTACTCACTTTTCTTGAACGCATCGTGAATAAATCTTCACCATCTGCTGAGTTGAAAGGTTTTCCATTGATGATCTTATTCTGAAGCTTAAAAAAAAAGTCAATCAATAAAAATACAGTGACATTATTTCCGTGGCGATAACCGTTTGAATTGCGAAAAACAAATAATCAAACAAATGTTGATCTTGGATTGCATTAGAACAGTTAAGAAATGGCACACACGCACACGAGTAGGAAAAAAAAAGGCCAACTCCAAATATGAAGGTCAGATTTGAGAAAGTTGAGATTTGAACCCGGAACTGCACAACTGAGAGGGAGACTTGTTACCCACTATCGGCACTGTGGCTCCCTACTGAATACTGCTACAGTAACTGAAAAACAGCCTTTTGAATTGACTTAAATTGAACTCAAGTACTGTCCGATGCACGTGATTAAAATATGGTTACAGCAACCCCCCCCCCTAAAAATTACGCCTATTTAGCATATTTTAATCACGGCCAACGAATGTGCAAATTGAGTGAATTCTGTGTCAACCCACAACCAAAAGCACAAAATCTCAGTCTCCACAGTGTGCTTAAGCTTAAGAAACAGAAGGAAGTTTGACAACATTGCTAACACTGATTCCAGTGGCGAGAGGGGTCTTGTGACACGCACCGATGACCACTAAAAGGCTGTTATGTGCAACATTACACTTGGCAATACGACATCCTCTTTAAACCCTTTTGACGCTGTTACGAGAAGATCCAACCCCCCCCCCCC